TGCAACAGTTTGAGTTAAAAATCTTTGTTTGTGTTCTACTGAAGAAACAAAGTCACATCTTGGATGCCCTGGGGGTAAGCAGATAAACATCAAATTTTCATTTTTGGGTGAACTATCCCTTTAATCTGTGAGAAATAATGTCAGATTTTTTTTTTCCCTTGGCAGCACCAGAAGTATTTTATCCATTCGGCTCAGCAGCTGGAGACACAATAAATGCAGCTGTTGAAGATGGAAGCTCTTCTGTTATTCAGCTGTTGAGTCCATTTCTGTTCTTTGGCCGCACATACCAGCAGATTTATGTAAGAATTTGACTCCATCTTGATTCTGAGTCTAAATGTGAGTGGTGAATGCTTTATAAACTCATCTGTGATCAGTGATTTTGACAGTATTTCTCATGTTGCAGGTTAATAATAATGGACACCTCACATTCAACCAGCCTTCATCGCAGAGTGTTCCAGACAACTTTCCTTCTTATGAAAGCCAAGATAGAATTGCTGGTCTTTGGACTAATCTTGACAACCGCCTGAAAGGTGTTGTTTCATATCGTCAGTACACCAGTGGAAATGTTCTCACACGCGCCTCTCAGGATATAAACACACATTTCCCAAATCTGAACTTCAATGCTTCTTGGGTGTTTGTTGCAACATGGAATAAAGTCGCTTACTTCAACTTAACCAACACAGTAAGCTTGATGTTCTTCTGAAATGTGAATGTTTTCACTTTGTTCATGATTCATTTTCTGAATACTAGGCCAAATGAATACCGTAGACCATAAAGACAGTAACCGAGAAAACAATAATAGATTGCTAAGCTTAAAGTGATTGTCTTTCAATTTTTGTAGGAAACATCATTTCAAGTGGTTTTAATTTCAGGCGGTAATTTTTCATTTATTCTGATGAATTATGGTGACATTGCTGTAACTGAACATCCAGTGCAGGTAAAAGAAACTTGTTTTCTGTATTGAGAACAAAATGTTACTATTCACTACTGTATAAATGTTTATGTCCTCTATAAATACTGTTTATATGAATAATGTTTTTACACTATTTCAGGCTGGTTATGACACAGTAGACTCCACACACTACTTTGTGATTCCCGAATCAATCAATGGGAGCTTCATCTCAAACCTCAGGAACTCCAGTAATGTCGATGTTCCCGGTCGATGGGTCTTCAGGGTGGACAGTGGACCAAGAAACAGCATCTTGAAAAGTCTTATCTATAGATAACGTTTTGATAAATTTCATATAATCCCATATAGTGTTTGTATGATTAGTGTCAACAAATACACATGAGTTTTTAGATGTCTGTGTGTTTTTCCCTTTAGACGATGTCGTTGGATTTCGAGTGAGACTTTCCTCATTTTTAGACCTGACACAGAGTGGCAGCACTGAAATACTTTTACAGCAAGTACGTCACACTTACTACAAATATTTAAACAGAATACGGTTCAAATAGACCACATGGGGAAATTTGTTCTGCTTGTCCATCTGTGTTTCAGATAAAGCAGGAGCTGGTCAAGTACAGTCTGCCAAACAGCATCGAACTGAAGTTAAGAAAACTGCAAAAGACAAAGCCGTAATTTCCTTCTCCTTCAGGAAAAGAAGTAAAACCAGTTCGTTTAGCATTTGACAACAAATATCCCTGACGACTGATGATGTAAAAGCTTCAGTTTTTCGTTAAGGTGATTTACAGAGGATTCAAACCAGCATAAGTATCATAGAAGAGGTCCATTAGATCCTCCTTTTTTTCTTTGCATATCAATTTGAAATTTAAACTTTACTGTAAGTAAAACTCTTTGTCTCATTCACCTTCATTAGAACCACAACTTATAAGGATACAATACTGTAATGTGGGGTTTGGGTTTTGTTTTTGTTTCATGTTCATGTTTTCATGTCTTTTATTTTTTAGTTTGTTTCATGCTGTTAGTGTCATGCTTCCCTTGCCCTCTTGTCTTCATGCTATTGGTTCCTCTGTTCATTGTGTCATGCTCTCATTGGTTATTGTCTTGTCATGTGATTATCAGTTCTGTTTTCTGATTGGTTGTCTTAGTCATGTGTCTTGTTTCCCATTGGTTTGTTCTTGTCATGTGACCCTCATTGTCTGCTATACGTAGCCATCATGTTGTCATTGTTCCTTGTCGTGCATGGAAGTTGTAACCCGCTGTCGGTGAGTCTAGTCTGTTCATGCCTCGTCAAGTCAAGTC